TTTTTAATATCTTCATGAATGGGGTTCTGAATTCAGGTGTGTGTATGACATAATTATATTATTTTTTTGCGCGACATAAGTTTTAGCACAAGAGACTACTCATTTAAATTAAAAAAAAAATCTCTAACGGTGAAAAATAATAATTTTTTAAAATAATTTTAATATCATTCTTTCAAGTTAAAAGGATTTATCATTACTAAAACAACAAACAGAATTAAAAAAAAAAACAAAGAAGAAGACCATACGCAAACACGATGTTAGGACAAACGTAAAATCAATAATAATAATCTATTGTGTTTGGATTAAACTTAATTTCACTTGTGCCAGACACATAGTTGGACCCAGTTATGCAAAAAAACAGCCATGTGCGTAAAAGTACCAACAGAGTTATAAGCATTTTTCGGTCGATAGTTGCACTTGGGTTATGTTTTGTTTTTCTGGTAATTTTAAAATTGAGCAATATTTATATAAGTATTGTTAATTTTTTATAATTATTTTATTTTTTATAATAAAATGCTTATAGCTCTGTTGGTACTTTTACGCACATGGCTGTTTTTTGCTTAACTGGGTCCAAAGCTTCATAATATCATGAATGTCTATTGTTATTCATGCCGAACCTATTATTTACCAAGTCAACCATATAAACACTGTTTAAAAACAACCATCAATCAGATCTCTTCCATGATTAATACCAACCTCGAAATTTTAATATGAATGAGTTTCACTCAGTTTCTGAAGATATAAAGAAAATATATTAGACAATCATTGGGAATCGTAAAAATGATTTTAAGAGGGTATAAATCCGCTTTTGTCATAAACATTCGATTCTTAATAGAAGATAGTAAAGGCTGCTAGTGTTTAGAATGTTATTTTACTTAATATGTTGAAAATAAAAAAAAATGCGAATGTTAAACCGACTTCCAAAAAGGAGGAGGTTCTCAATTCGTTGGAATTCTTTTTTTAAATATAAGCATTTAATTTAAATAATCGAATTAATCGCTATACTTTTAATAACCTCAAAATCTCGTATACATTTAAGTGGTTTGGGAACTATGTATTTTTATAATTGCACTTAATTTCGTTTATTGCAATTACATTTTAAGAAAATATAAATTACATATTACTTAAGCTCAGACTAAGGAATAATATAGATAGAGTGTTGTAGAACTAAACATTAGGCCAAAAAATATATATTTTTTTAAATATACAAAGTTTTAAAAAAATATACAAATGTTAATAGAATACGCATTGTACGGATTTTATAATAATAAACAAAAAAATCTAAATACGCTAATATTATACTATCTCAAAAAGAAGAGAACTAATGGTTATAAAATAAAAAATAATATAGTATTATTTTTACTATTCACGTTTTTCATGTTCAAAATTTTTAAATTAACGACTTAAAATTTTGCTTATTCTTTAAAGAAACTATGGAGCGTAAAGGTAAGGAGATATGACTATCTATGAAAAAGTGTCAAAACACGTCCTATAAGGGTGGCGCTGCGGTAGCGTAGGATAAATTGTAAAGGAAGCGCCAGAAGTAATTAGAGTAATTTATATAAATAAACAAGGATGGTTATATTTACTAAATTACTCGTATTTTAGACTACGTAAATAGTTGAGGTTTTAATATACTGGTATTTCATTAATTACTTTAGTCATGAATTTTTTTTTTAACTTAGCACACTTCACTCCGTCTACAACAGCTAAATTCATATCGTAGTTTTTTGTACGCCAGCGCCATCTATTTTCAGTATACAGATGGACACTTTATCAACTTTTTCCTCATATAAGAGACTCCTCCTAACCTCTGCCCTCCATAAAAGAAATACGATCTGAATTTCAAAATCGATACAAGTAGCATAAACAGCAAAATTACGCTACTATTTTTGACTTTGATATTTCTTTGGCGGGCTCCATCTATATAATTCTTTAGTCTGAGTACTTAGTACTTACGAAAGTATTTTAAATTGAATCAAATAAAAGCAATGTACACCTAACTATAACTGTACATGTCGCATCAATTAAGTGCATATGTAAATTTAAAATGTACATAATAATATATGTTAAAAGTATTACGCATACATACAATCAGTTTCTATATATTTATATATTATTGTATTAAAAAAAATATGAAGAACAGTGCCAACTTCAAATTATTTTTAGCCCCCGACGCAAAAATGACGGGATGTTATAAGTTTGACGTGTCTATGTGTGTGTGTGTGTGTCTGTGTGTGGCATCGTAGCTCTCGAACGAATAGACCGATTTTTATTTTGTTTTTTTTTTGTTTCAAAGGTGAATAGTCGAGAGTGTTCTTAAGCTATGTTTGATGAAAATCGGGGTCAAAAAGGTCGGTTTTTTTTATTTATCACTTGTTTATAGTATTAAATATGATAGAGGTATGAATGAAATATGTTATGAACTACAGTAAAATACGCCTATTATTTCTTTATGTTGTGTGAAACTAAAAATTCATGGATCATTTCAGTGAAGTTGAATGTCTTCTAAGTATTTGGAGTTAAAAGTCTAGACTTTAACTTTATATAATTTGAAGTTTGAAACTTAATTTTAAACTTTTCTTTTCAAAACGAATAAAATAATAAATTAATTTTATATCATCGAACTTTTTCAGCTTTTTAGTGATTTTAAAAACCCAATGATAAAATTATCGAAAATGGTAAACATAATCTGGAGCCATATTTTTTTTATTTAAAACTAAATTAATATAAAAGACGTTAACACTAAGAATACCAACGAATGTTAAAGCATTTACAGTATTATATTTATTTTGTACAAGTTATCTTAATATTATAAGTTATATTTAGTAAAAAATCCGCATTTATCTAGCGTACGTAAACCCACATAATATTCTGTTTAGTTGTTTTTTGTGCGAGTATTATTGGCAAGATCCGAAATACAATTCATTAATAAAAGTTTTAGGGCACATAATTTACAGTCAGAATTTAAAAAATAATAATAATCAGGCCCTCACCGCAAGAATGGTCTAAGCCAAACCTTTAAAATGTAAAATAATAGTAAAATGTATGTATAAAAATGACTAGTGCGTTCTTTTTCTTCATCTGTAGATAAATATTATATGTAATACTTGCTTTTTGTTTTTTTTTTTCATTATTAGACTATTAAATTTGTGTAAAAATATTTTAAAGTATTAGCCTAAGAGGCGAGCGACCAAAAACTGCAAGCATTTTCTAAAGGCTGTTTTTTTTTGTGATTTATATAAATTCTTCACGTGTAAATTTCATATTTTAGAAAGTACACTTGCACGATGTACTTATTTTTTACAACTTTAATGCGTGACTAATGCGCTCGGTTACAAAATTTGCAAAACTGACAATCGTAAAACTTATTTTTAATTAATATACTTCTCATAAATAATTTTTTAAGTATTAGAAAGTAGTTCCGAAGTATATATATTTTTTACAAAATTAAAGCCGTGCTGCGTCAAACGCTAAGGAAAACAGCTGACCGACGGCCAGCTATATCTCTACTCCACCAACGTGACGTAATATTAAAAAAATCAGCCTTTAGAAAATAATAATAATATTTATTGCAAAGTTATAAGCCCAATTTATAGTATAATAACATATATGTATGTAGTTATCACAAGTCAATTTTTTTACATCACTTTGCATATAAGCATATCAAAATGCTTGCAGCTTTTGGTCGCTCAACTCTCACGCCATAATACTTTTGCGGTGACAGCCTTAAATTATTTAACGTTGTCTTCGTATATACCAATTAAACTCTTAATTTGACATAAAATTTAAATATATATACATTATTTTTACATAGCACCTTACATTTACAATTTTTTTTATGAGTTACGAATCCGCTCATATTTTTCATCGTAGCTTTCCAGGCCATTTATACCAGTTTATTAGAACAGTAGTTCTCTTCAACATTAATTATTACGTAATGAGACTTCATATTGCTTATATTGCATTAATTAAGTATAAAACACTATATTACCAATTAATAATATGAGATCCCGATCTATGTGATAGACACTCTTATTCCAGATGGAATATATTTTTTTAGTCATAAAAGATATTAAAAAAACACGACCCAGGGGAGGTTAGTTTGTTAGTTAAAAAAAATTAATTAAAAATAGCATAGAGCAAAATTTTTGGCGTCAACCCCCCTGTTTAAAAAATATATTTCGCCAGGCAAAATAATAAGGGGTCCACCACATAGATCGGGATCTGAGACTATAATGCTATGGTTTATCAAAATAGAGGTCATTTTTTTAAGTAGCAATATAGAAGGCTTATTTTCTTTAAAGATACAAACAATTTATGTTTTTAATGTAACCTCTTTTATTAAATGTTTTATATTTAGATTAAATGAATTTAGTTCACAAATAATACTCGTAAATCAGTACAGTGAATGATACGAAATTATTATTCACTACGTCTATTATATAAATGAAACTTGAACTAAAACAACATATGTTCTGAGAAACAAAACCATCCACGAGTGTCTAAACAATGAAATTATTAATGCTCGTAAAATTATAACTTTAATAACAATTTCATTACATGAATGTATATTTGATTAGTTTGATACAATAAAACTATTTATAAAATTGAAAAAAATATGAGAGTAAAATTTTTACGATGCGCGCGCACACCGACAGCCAAAAAGCGACATGATGAAGTTAGCTGCGTTCCTTTTACAAACAGAGAGTTATGACATATTATGGGACGAAATCTTTAGCTATTTTTGTTCTGTTACGCCAAAGAATTATAACTTCTTACGTGTGTACATAAGTACACACACACGCGTTTTTTATTCGATAAGATTTGTAAGTACTGAACCGATTTTAATAAAATTATCGCAATTGGAAAGCTACGCTCAAAATTAATATTTTTTTATTTCAGTATAAATAAATATTTCACCCTGAAATATCACCTAAGGACGCACCCAAGCAATGCTAGGAGTCACTAGTAAACAATAAGTCACTCAACTCAACTCAGCAAAACCCAGGGTTCGTATGTTCAATTACACACCGCTTACAATACTTCTTTACAGCTCGATAACCTCGCAGGGTTACGGGAGTGTCTTGTATATTTAGTTGTGTGAGTCCCCTGCAGTAGTATGCCACTGCTTCTAGTCCATCATCACCTATTAGTTCACAGCCTCGTAGAGCCAGTTTCTTTAAGTTTGGACAACATCTGGCCAGAATCTGTAATAAAACGGCCAATTAAATAATAGTACACCGCATCGATCAAAAAAGTACTAGATACACAATCAGCGACAAAAAATATTCTCACCGAATGAGCGCTCGTTTGAACATTTGAGCGCGCTTTTAATTTTTTTTTTTGTGAAAACAACTTTAAGCATCGCATTTAAGGTTCAATTTACTCTAGCGTATATTTATTTCAAATAGAATAATTACCCAAACACAATTGGTGACACATTTAAGAGAACTTTCGTTTGGGATTGTGTACCTATATATTACTTTTTGATCGATGGTACACCGACATTAAAATTACTTAAACTTTATTATTTCACCTATTTAAGCCATATTAATTTTTGTGGTTCTAAACAAATTATAGCTTTCAAGGCAGTGGAAGCCCAGTGGTAACACGAACACGCTTGCGTGGTAAACCAAGTGAAACGGGTTCAAATCCCGAGTCTCACATCTCTGATGTATATTATGCGAATAATTTTCAAAATGATTACCACTTGTCTTGCACTGAATGGAAACATTGTAAGGAAACCTGCATGTCTGAGAGATTCTAGAAAGATATGTGAAGTTCGCCATCTCGCACTTGGCCAAAATGGTGGACTACGACCTTATATATTATTTTTTCCTGATACTAATACATTATAGTTTTTAAGCCTAATTCTTTAAATAAATAAATATGTTGGGACATTAACACACAGCACCATCTAGTTCCATGGTGAGCTACGAGGCTTGTGTTATGGATACCAGATAGTTTATACACTACACATATATAACTTTTAAATATATACATATTATAAATATAAACACCCATGACTGGAGTACAAACATTCGTGCTCATCACACAAATGAAGGCCTCCAGCGGGACTCGAACCCGCGACCTCTAGCACAGCAAGTAGGGTCACTACACACTGAGCCAAACGTGTCGTCAATTTGATTTTCTAAAACATTCATTTCGATCTATTTTAGAACGTGAATATTGTCAACCATTACAAATATCGCACTTTCGCTGACGTATATCCGTTTGTAGTGTGGTCAGAGTCACTATTTGTCAAACATAAATAAATGTCTTCGTTTGCGATCCAATTAGAGTGGAACATTACGTTACATTGGTTGAAGTTTGGTATTTTACTTGTATTAAGCAGATCAATTTGAATTTCCGTACTTTTAAAAAAAACATTGTGCTGTTTATTATTTGAGGAAACGTTTGGCTCACTTTGTAATGATCCTACTTGCTGGGCTAGCGATCGCGGGTTCGAGTCCCGCTGGGGGCATTCATTTGTATGATGAGTACGAATGTTTGAAGTCCAATCATGGCTATAGATAGAGAATCTCTTAACAGTTATGCTAAATAACAACACTTGGCCCTATCCGAGACTCGAATATCCTGTGTTCGAGTTCGGATTTGTAACCGTACATGCTAGCCTCTAAGAGTCTTTTTTTTTTATGTCGGGAAATGCATTTACGCATACCACCTGATCCCCCAGGTGGTGATGTGGGGCTCACCGGCTAGAAGAGCCGGTACTACCCACTAAAACCCAACATTCCCCTCCCCTCCGCCTTAATGGGACGCCGCAGGATCGCTTGCGCATAACTACTACGGCGCCCCGGCGGCAGGTCTGCCTAAGCGCTAGGCAGACCACCAAACCAATGGGGCTGCTCCACAGTCAACTCTGCTACGCCAGAGAGGTACCCGGAGCAGCCCCATTAAACCTGACCACCGCCCACCGAAGTGGGCCACCTCCAATCGGCTGCAGAGGACAGGGAGAGCGGCAACGAAACACCGACACTCCTCTTCCCCTGCAGCCCCACCGCGTCCGCCATCAAACGGTGGCGGCCCCGTCTAGGCCGCGGAAGGTAGGGAGAACGGCGCACCGAAATACCGGAACTCCTCTCACGCCGCGGCCTACTCCTCCGCCGGATGCGGGCCTGCGACCACAGTCCCGCAACCGGCACCCATCATCCGGTTGTGGGACCAAGCGGTCCCACCACCGGTGGCCGCAACGTCTTCGGCTCGAGTCCTAGACGAGCGGCCCCACCCAAGCCATTTGGTCCGCGCCGGATTTCTCCGGTACCACCCGCCGCCCTAAGCGGGTGGCATTCCCCTATCCGCCACCTGGGGACGCGCCCGGTAGGGCCTCTAAGAGTCTAGGCCAAAAATATAATCAAGTTCTGTACTTCTTATAATGAATATTACCTGTAGCCCGGCTTCGGATACGTCAGTAGCGCCAAGATCGAGCGCTCGTAATCTGGAACACCCTCGACCGATCGCTTCCACGCCGTCGTCTCCGAGCGCTCCGCAGCCTCTCGCGTTTAGATACCGCAGCTTGTAGCATCGTCTCGCTAACGTGCTAACTCCTGAATCCGATACCTAACAGAAATCCATACTAATATAATATTATATTATAAATGCGAACGTAACTCTATCTGTGTGTTTGTTTGTTACCTTTTCACGCTTAATCTGCTGAACCGGTTTAGGTGAAATTTGGTATGGAAATAGTTAAGGAGGTGAAAAGGAGGATGGAAGTTTGTACGGGGAAGAAGGTAATAGCGCCAAATGTCCTTTGAAGATAAATAAATACAAACTTAATAAAATAATATTATACCTAAAACGTTAAAAAGAAAGCAAAATTTGTTTATATAAAATAATCTTGAACCATACTTAACTAAATTTAAAATTATACTTCTTTCACTAACACAAAGCTACGCCATTATAATATATACCACAAATTTTATTGGCATGCGAGAAAAAATTAGGGGCCAAAGCTAATTTATGATATTATAGTATTTAAGTTGATATTTACGATATGGTAGTAGACTCGTGACGTTCAGTAAAAAAATGTAATAATTTAATGCTGAATAAAAAAATATTAAATTTTAAATTAAATTTTAAATTAAAATATTTTATTTTCAAGCTCAATGTATTCGTAAACCTAAGGGACTGAGTTATTTTAAGCTTTCCTGTCTGAATTTAATCTCTAAATCCTTTTATCAAATGAATGATTATCCGCTCTAAGTATAAATAATCGTCTAAACTATCAATTTTATAAAAATACATATGGAATTATGATAAAACACGTAAAATACGTTGAATGTAAATAACTTATTAAGATTATAGAAAGATTTCGAACATCATCGAACTTTACTCGTGACAACGAATAATGGAAAATATTCTAAAGGTTCCCGCAGACTGTAGACTGTCTGTCAGTCAATTTAGTCGGATTTTTAATTAGTATGAATATATAACCCAAAAAGATATTATAGTTGCCACTAACTAACATCGATAAAATTTTGAACATTTACGAACAGAACGTTATTCCTTAAAAAACCTATATAAAAATGAAAAAAAATTAAATGTGTTCATTATTTCTCTAGCGTACAATATATCAAAGATTGAACTCGAACTACAAAATAGCTACATCAAAAAAACTGACATAATAAAACTTAATTTATATAAAATAACGTGCTAAGTTTCAAATCGATACTAATATAATAAATATGAAAGTGTGTTTGTTTGTTTGTTTGTCCTTCTTTCACGTCGAAACGGGGTGACAGATTGGCGTGATTTTTTGTGTGAAGATAGTTGGAAAGCTGGAGAGTGACATAGGCTACTTTTTACCGCGGGAGTTTACCTAATTCCCACGGGAAAACACTTTATAATACAATCCAAAAAATATTTATGATAAGAGTTACTTAAAACTTGGTATTAATGCTCTTCAATAAAATTAAATAAATACTTGTTTCAGAATTCATCATCATCATTTAAAATTCATCTTATAAGGGGGTAAAATATGGAATGAAAGTTTGTATGAAACTAACTTTTTAGAGAATTTTATTTAGTTTTAGCGCGAGCGAAGCCGCGGGTTCCGCTTGTGTTTTATATATTATACAATTAACGTAATATTGATTGAGTCATACCTGAGAACATTTAGCTACAGACAAGTATCGTAACGCCGGTCCCAACTTAGCCAATTCGTATAGCCCGAAGTCTGTAACTCCGGTGCAATCAGATACACTAAGTTCTTTGAGAGCGCAATACGAAGGTATCCATCTGACTCCTGCATCTGTAACAGGAATTTCATTATCCTATAAGTGTTTTACCATTCACGCGAGGGTTCTCTGAATCTCTTTGAATATTCAATCCGATGTCAGTTTCCATCGAACAGTATCTGGACTTGGAGTTATTGACGGTATCCTAGTTTGTGTGTGTGTTTGTTTCCGTGAATATGTGGGTGCGTGTATTTGTCTTTTAAAGAAATTTCAATTTCTGGCGAAATTGGATATTTGAATGTTAATGTAACAACAATGCGTAATACGATAAACATATTTTGATAAAAATTAGTAAATACTATGATTTTTTTACGTTTTTTTTTATTTTTTTTATCCGAGACTTTTGTTTACACACTAACCAAAACACAAACAGCGCAACAAAAACCATGTATGATTTTCCTGTGCACTGCGAATTCATACAAGGTAATTAATTATACATACATATGCATCTATTAAAATCATATCAGTTTCGCAAAAAACATTAACAACTAAAACTAAATTTACACAAAAATATAAATTACGCAATCGGAGAGCAAAAACCTAAAAAATTATAGTTTATTGGCGTTAGGTAATTATTTGCTATTAAAAGATAAGTATTCAATTTTATGCTACAAGAAATAATGTACGTAATGATAACTCTCCTACTTACAGATAATACAATATATATAAAATTTTAATTATTATCTTTATATTTGTAAACAAGCGTGTGCCATAATTCTTTTTTTATTGTTGTATACAAAAGAAAAGATAGTATATGTACACTAGTCACTAACGACTCACCCTCGCTTCGCTCGGGTTCGTCCCTAGGTATGTCTTAAATTAAAATGGATATAGTATGTTATCCTTAAGAGATAGACATATGCCATCGCTGACTTTTTTGTAGACCTATATAAGATACACAATTCCACCATACATTATTTTGTTATATCTCAAAGGGTTTAGGCAGCATTTTCGTTTAAAGCTCCCGGACGTCTTATTTTTTCCGACACCTCCAACAAATATCGTTATATTTTAGCCAATGTATACAAAAACTTAACAAATTATATACTAAAACCTTCCTCTTGAATCACTCTATCTATTAAGAAAACCGCATCAAAATCCGATGCGTAGTTTTAAAGATTTAAGCATACATAGGGATATACGGACAGAGAAAGCGACGTTGTTTTATACTATGTAGTGATTTCTCAGAGATGAGATTTTTTTCCGCAGTAAAAAGTATGCTATATATTGACCCGGATAACAAGTTATTATCATACCAAACTTCATCAAAATCTGTCCAGTGGTTTTCTCGTGATGCGGTCACAGACAGACAGACAATAATTATAAAAACTATAGATTCAGCATCTGTATCGATATTAATGACTGTTTCAACAAATTTTTCTAAAAAATATTTAATGTACAGACAGACTCGACTCATTTAGAATTGTATTATAATAAATATGTATAGATTATACAATTTTTATATTTACCTGTGACTAGAGTACATCTCCTGAGGTAGAGATATTGCAGCGAAGGACAAGTATGCAGTAAAGCGCACAGCCCTGCATCCGTGACCGCACTGCAATCAGTTAGGTCTATGTATTCTATGGGGGGTCTCCTCGTCGCCAGACGACTTTCAAGCCACGCCCATTCTGGCCAATCAACATTTGGACAACCTGTAAAAAAAGATAAACTTAATTCTATAAAAATAGCTATACCATTATATAAAAAAAATAGCTATAGTCCTACTCTATTGTTATATACAAAAATTGTTCATTGTTGTATAAAGAATAATCTCTATAAAAACTGAAAACCAATTGTAAATCTTTAAAATACACTATTTTTAAGTGATATAAGTTAACGTTTAGCTCGTAGATAAGATATTTTCCTGCAGTAAAAGGTATTCTATATGTTGACCGGGACAAACAGCTATCATCATACCGAATTTCATCAAAATCTGTCCAGAGTTTTCTCGTAATGCGGTTACAGATAGAAAAACAGACAAATATTCTGAAAACTATAGATTCGGCCTCTATATTGGTAATAATGTCTATTTCAATAAAATTTTCCAAAAAATATTTAAAGTACAGATTCGACTCAGAATTTTATTATATGTATAGATTTGAATAAAAATACCCAGTCTCGAACGAAGTGGCGGTATTGTCAATATCTTCAAATATGAATTTGATGAACATTGTATGTATAAGAACGAAACGATAATATCGGTCAATCCGTCACTACCAATAACTACAAAGCATTCGAGCCTTGAGTTCATAAATATTGTAAAACTAATAATCTGCCCTTACTTCGCTTGCACTTGTTACTGTACTTTAAGATATTAATATCTTATAAGTAAATATGGCAAGTTAAAGGTTATTAAGGTGTTGCAAAATTCACACACGATTTAAATTAATTAGAAATCACAGTTTATTTTACAGTATTATTTTTTACGAAGTTTAATTATAGTTCAAATATTAATAAACATCCATTTGTGATGTATTCATACATATCGAAATAGTTTTGTTTTTTTGCTTTACATCGGATGGCACCAACTTCGAAAATATCTGATCTATAGTAAATGAAACCCCCTTTCAGCATTTTTTTTATTTTTTAGTATCCGGAAGTCGGTTTTATACGAGAACCAGTTCAAGTACTTGATGCAAAGTAGCTGTTATTCTTCAGGCCATAAACTATATCTTTAGAAAAATCACGTCATTGATTTATAAATTGCTTCGTACACACATTACCAAACCAACAAACTTTCGCATTTACAATAAGACAATAAATGTATATAATCTATTATATTTATATATGCGAAAGCTTGTACACAATCTGTATATGTATGTCCTTTAGACCATCTAGGACCACCCGAACGAAAGAGCTAATTCGCTAGTATAATAAGTTAAACTCTTTAAACGTTACATTTCTAGCGGTAGACTCCTCACGGACTGACTATACTGAAATTTAATTTAAATTAAAAAAATAAAATTGACGATTCAAAAGTGCTTGTAAAAGTCTATTTGAATAAAGTATAATTACATTAGATTTGATTTCAATTCACGTTTTATCAACACATATAATGTCAACGTTAAAACTTTATTTATATTTATATATATAAAAGATATTTATTTAGTGAATATTAATTTATTTGTTTTTCGGGTAGTTGTACTCTGACCCCTGACATCAAAGTTTGTCAGGCCACCCAAGGGCTTTTGACAAGCCTTAATTAAGGTGACTTCTATCAATCGATAACAATCGAGACCGGCGGCTTAAGAAGTTACATGGCTCCCAAAGCCAAAAGCGAAATTGAAATTTTCATGTTAGTGGAGAAAACATTTGCGTAGACGTTCACTATTGCTCTTTATAATAATTTTACTAGTATAGCTTATCATGTCATTAGTTACGAATTCGATGCTGGGGTGAGGTAAACCTAGAATAGTTCTATATCCGTACATCTGTATAACTAGCGACTCAAGCTACGAGGCATGTGTTATGGATACCAGATAGTTGATACACTACACATATATAACTTTAAATACATACATATTATAAATATAAACATCCATGACTGGAATACAAGCATTCGTGATAATCACACAAATGAATGCCCCCAGCGGGACTCGAACCCGCGACCGTAGGCACAGCAAGTGGACACACTACAAACTGAGCCAAACGTGTCGTCTAACATTTATAATATTAGTATTGATAAATATCATTTAATTCAACTGTTACTAATAAAATCAACTTATGATACCTAATACCGTCACTTTACCGTACATACACATTATATTCTCTTTATTAATAATACACACATTTTCAATAATATTTAAATGAATCTAGAAATTTTAATTTTGGACATTTTATATCAATCCTTTAACAAACGTACGATCAAATAATGAAGATAGAGAGAGAATCTTATAATATTAAATGATCAATCCTTGTAATATACATTAATTTATTTCGTATAGGTTTTTTTCCGAAAAAATACAATTTTTATGTCTTTTCCAACACATAAACACCGAGCGTGGCTCAGTCGTCCAGATTGTATAGTTTAATGTGATACATCATCCATACTTAATATTATAAATATGAAAGTGGTTTGTTTGTTTGTTTATCCTTTTTTCACGTCGAAACAGAGTGACAGATAGGCGTAATTTTTTACGTGGAGATAGTTGAAGGGCTGAAGAGTGATATAGGCTATACATTTTACTGCGGGAGATTATAACATTCCCACGGAAAAACACGTTATAATAGATCCCAAAAAAATTCTTGCGACCAGAATTACTTGAAAGTTGGTATTAATGCTCTTTAATATAATTAAATTAATAAATTTTAAGCATTTTTCGAAATTCATCCCATAAGGAGGTAAAATAGGGGATGAAAGTTTGTATAAAACCTAGTATTTTGAGTTTTTTTTTGTACTTTTAGCGCGAACGAAGCCGCGGGTTTTGCTAGTAGCACATAATTTTAAAATTCAAATCCTAAATATGTACCGCACTCTCTAATGCAAACTTTGGAATCGAGTTTAACATTATAATTAAATATTAAATACCTGACATAAATTTCGGTAAACAACTTTTAGTGCTAGTATAAACATATAGTCTATGATACAACCGCTAAAAACTTTATATTAAAGAAAACAACAAAATTAACATAAAATCAACTAAACTCTACATTCTTTAACTCTTTTAATTTAATCATTATAAGGATTACCACAAATTTTTGCTACGGCCATTTCAACTTTATTAAAAATGGAGAAGTTTCATGATGTTGTTAATATCATATTTAAGGCAATCGAATTATAATTAGATCAAAACTAATGAAACAGTGGTTTTTTTTACATCTTACGTATTCTTACAAGCGCAACTTTAAAGCTTCATAACTTTCTCATTTGTTGAGATATTTTAATAATTCTTTTATATTTTTGTTATATTTTACTTATATTTTTATAATTAAAACATTAAAAAAAGTTGAAGCTTCTCCATTAAGCTTACGCTTTTTACATCAGATCTTTGTCTAACATATCAACGCCAGAGACGAAATATTTTATCAGCTATACTCCGGCATCTAATGTTCAACATTTCACGATTATTCGCAGGAATAATTTATAAGAACTTCGATATGAGTTTTGAAAACTTAAATAAATATTGAAAATTGTGAGGCGCATTATTAATTTTGAAGTCGAAACGTCTTTAAAATAAAAATTAGTTGTAACAAAACATTGACTCCTGTAAACTAAAGTTTTGTGGCCTACTTTTCGTGACCTATTTAACTGATTTAATTAGAAAATTTGAATTTACATTCTGATTCATGAACACGATTCAACTCTTTTGATCATGGAAGTGATGCTATGGAACCTGATAAGACACTATACAATATATTTATGGGTACCCAATGTTTTTCTTTTAAAATAAACTTACAACATCTTTCTATATATAATAAGACTAGCAACCCAGTCTCGCTTCGCTCGGGTTCGTCCCTAGGTTGCTTCCCCATACAAACTTCTTTCCCCCTTTTTCACACCTTTAAGGGATGATTTCCAGGTAAAAACTATCCTTTGTCTTTCCCAGCAACATACAAAGTACAAACAAACAAACAAACAAAAAACCTCTGTATAATATTCGTATAGACAGTAAAAATTGTCACTGTGGCGAATAAAATTTCAATAATAACAATTTAAAATACACGTTTTTTTATTTTTTTGTATTATACTTAACTAAAAAGTTTCAGGATAAAGAAAATGACTGACCAGTAAGATCTATATGCCTTAGATCCACTAAATCTGTAATAAGTGGGGCCAGAGCTCTAGCATCCATAGTGCTAGAACTTGTAAGTGCTAAGTGCGTCAGGTTTCTAAACGTAGCTGCTATCAGCTGGCTACCGGCCACCGTCACCTGTAAATATTATATATTTATAAAAAAATATATAGAGTACATATACAAAAAAGTAATGTAATTCAAATTGCAATTGTAAAAGTCATTCGAGTGTCATGCAAATATTATGTATGTAAAAATATTTATGATATGTATATTTTTTGTTATGTATAACGATAAAAATATATTACTACTTTGCTGTAGAGATAGAAGAATAAGTTTAATAAAAATAATAAAAATAATTCAATAAAAATAATGTTTGCTACTTTTTATAATCTATACATAATAATAATAAAAGACTGCAATGTAAGAGTATATTAATATGTAAAACCTTAGAATTTGGTTTTGGGTCATCTGAACGCGGGCGGAGCCGCGGGCAATGCTAGTATTAAATAAAAATGAAAAGAAAATTTACTTTATTATATTAGATTTATATAAGCACTTTTGAATAGTTGAAAGATAGTGTAATCGGTCCATGACGACGCTATCGCCGACTTGGAAGCTACTTTCGCTTAAAAGAGCCGTCGTCAAACTCAACATTTGCTCTTTTAGAAACCAAATAAGAAAAATACTGTCTATTAAAACATTATAGCTATTCCACAATATTTTATCTCAATACTAGCACATTTTGTATGTCAATATTTATTAATACATTTATTTTTAATTATGTTTACCTCAAAATAAATGACATTTATCAAAAAAAAAACAAAAACAAATTAAGAGTATTGCATATAATATAATTTCATACATTTCTTACATGAAAAGACAGAGAATAAATCCTCCGTTATATTTTGCTGTTAAAAATTATTAAAACAAGTATCATATATGGCGTTCAGTTTAATCAAAGCCACAGCAAAACGACTCAAAACTAAGCACAAATTAGTACATACCGCACAAGTTTTAGAACGCCATTCCCTTACAGCGCTAACGCAAGGGCCAGCTCTTGCGCCCGCGCACCGAGCTGCCACCTCTAAAGGGCCCGCGGCTCGAACTCGCCGCCACGGCTCCGGCCTGGCCGTGAGCCTGGCGACGAACCGCGACCACCTCCTGCATACCCTCGACATACGACATAGATCAGATACCTGCAAAAGATAGATAAAAATATTATAGGTTTTCATCGAAAATGTTTTATATAAGATTTTTTAACAAATTAACAAATGAAGGTGGTTTTTTTAACTGTATAACAAAAATAATACACTTAGTTCTTAGAAATAAGATTCTTTAATTAGCTAATCGTTTCTTTTATTCATATTCTCTTCTGATTGAAATTTTCAAAGTAAATTACCCTTGTTTTAAAGATTCTAGGAGTTAAATATATTTCTTTGATGTTTGAACCGACTTAATTTGATATTCCAACAACGAGTTAAACTTCTTGTAAGAAAGAATTCTTAGAAAGGGTAAAAATTAAAAAAGTTCTGTAACAAAGTAATAGGACTGACATATAAACAGTTAAAAATATGCTATTCTAAGTTTTATCTCATTTTACGGAAACATTATGTTTCAAGAAAAGAAAGGGTGTTATAGGGTGGTATAATAAAGGGTGTATATACTTAGAAAATTTTATACAAAATTTCGTTCGCTTTTACGAGCAGCCTAATTTCCGATTCCATTACAGGGCTTTTATAAAATCCAAACCAAACTCCGAAATTGCTGGATGCTAATACTAAAGAGACTGATAGGACTGTGATTGATGGTCTAATTCACACAATTATAAATGTTATTTTTTTATTTATTTAATATTTATGATATTATAATATCCATAAAAGCAGATATCAGTTTAAAAATGTTTGTGGAAATGCTGAAGGTATAAAACTATGCATAATTGTTATTTAATTCTTGCAAAAAATACTCTCACGGGAAAAGGTATAAGAATTATATGAGAATATTGATGGTATGTTGTAAGTACTGCATGGATATATGATGCTGAAATACGTAATATAAAGTTCAGGTATAAATGACGCAGCATTGCGGTAAATAACAGTTAGTTTAAACTATATACATTTTTTATTTTGCAGGAACTCGTGATATCACTTGACATGTTTATTGAAATTTTGAAACTGAAAAGTGTGAAAATATATTATTTAAATTCCAAAAAAAAAATTGAGCATTATATTATTACAATGATATATATTATATACAAAGTGCTTTTTTTTCTTTTTTTGTAAGTAACATTAAAATAGCCTGGAAGCCATCACACATCCCCAAGGTATGATATTCCCATATTCTATAAAATCATGTTTTGTTTAAATAGCAAAAAAAATTACCTCAAGGTATGACAATATCTTCAACCACAACGCATCAGTAAGCGTATTATCTCGTCTTCTTCTAGGTGGACCACAATCAGCTAAAGTGTGATACCCCTGGTCCAGGCTTAACTCGCTTAGATCAGCTGCAAGAGAGAGTGCCGGCTCGGGGGGTGGCGGCGGTCGCCTCCTGGCGCCCCCGCAAACACCTGGCCCTGAACAACTCCCGCTTGACATAGTGCAGGAATCCTGAAAAATAACGATTCTCATTAGAATTTTTTTTTCATATTCATGTGATGTGAATCATGCGATATCCAGCCTACTAACAATAAGTTAGTCGCGGATTCATATCTAGTGCAAGACAAATATTTAATCTACCACTTATCAGAAAGTGATGAGTCGTTGGAAATATAGGTATGAAAAAGAAAAACGGAATATTAAAACTATCGCAGTACCTACTTGCACTAATAAGTCCGTAAGTTTAGTCGCACTCTTAGTAGAATCCTTAGATATGTAGTCCTTAGACCTGTAAGCTCCCTAATAAAACTTCGAGATATTCCTTGCTTATATTCTTATATTCAGTACTTTTATAAACGTCAGTGAGTTACAAAATAATCATAATTTTCAGTATTACAAACAATTCGTAGTGACCTACAGGGCGGTACTGACTTTATATATGTAGCAATATACTCTATGGTACTGACATCTCTGAGCAAAAGCGCGGGAAAACAAATGAATATCCGCGCCCTTTTTTATTTTTTTTAAAACACATTCCTATCGACCAAGGTCACATAAGTATATGCCTTACACATAAATCATTACAAAATAATCAAATATATTATTTTCTATTAAAACACTCAATATATAAAAATGCAACCTTACAGACCTTATCTCAGTAATTTTTTGCAATATTCTGAAGTCATATGAAAAGTTTCCGTCTTTATTACTCTTGTTGCTTATAACTTAGTTCAATACAAAAATGCACCTTAACCAAAAAAAAGTAAAAAATCCACAACAAAGCGAGAGGAAGACTGCGACCGTAATATGTAAACGATTTTCATGTTTAAGAGTTACAAGCGCACGCTAGTTTAAAGAATTGAAAAAATGTTTTAAATGATAAGATATTACTATCTCTCTACTTTAATTTTCATGTTTGAGTTATTTTTAAACAAACAAATCTTCAAAGTATTCCGACAAAGTGTATAGGCAAATTCTTAGTTCTACGCGATTTAATTATAGAAATAACCAAACTGTAGTTATGCTTTTAGAGTAATTTCTCCATATGCGGTGATCTTATTGTATAATTAGAGAGATGACCTCACAATGGCCGTATAAATCAATTGGGAATGGCATTGAATGCTTCATCAAGGAACAATCGAATGGGTGTCCTCTGTCCATCACATGGCATAATGACAAATCGTTTAGTCGAATCGATATTTGCATTCTACATAACTTATATCATACTCGTATGTGAACATTTTAAAATGTTATTCAGTTTTGTAAGTTACATATTTCAGTCTTAGGTACCGACATATATAAAATAGTGTTAAGTGTAGCAAAAGTTAATTTAATAAAATTATATAAAATGAAAAAAAAAACTATAAGATACAATGATTTTGATAAACATATAATACTATTTTTTGCAGAAGATTAACACAGCGCCATCTAGTTCCATGGCTTGTGTTACGAGGCTTGTGTTATGGATACGCTACACATTATAAATGTTAAATAAATGAATATTAGAAATATAAACACAAATGACTGGAATACAAACATTCGTGCTCATCGCACAAATGAATGCCTCCCGCGGGACCCGAACCCGCGACGTCTAGCACAGCAAGTAGGGTCACAAACTGACAAAAAACATATAGACGAATCGAGTATCGCGAAGTCCTCCACCACCACAAAGGATCCACCTTATCATTTATGAAGTCATTAAAAAATATTATAACATATCCTTTTTTGAAATCGGTCAATGACATCTAGTGTAAATTATTATTAATCATGTCGATTTTATTGGTCATATAAATTAATTTACATATTAATGTTAACAAATTCTTTGAATAGTTTCATAAACTTCGATCATATCGCACTCATTAACAGCTTGAGCTTTAAAATTTAAACGCAGCGTGGGCGAAACTACATTTGGACCATCATTTAATTGTCCCCTTCGAATTCCTAACAAGCAATTATATGCTTAAACTCGTATAACATCATACTACTAATATAAAAACCACAGTTTGTATGTAGGTTTATATTTGGTACTTTGCGCTAAAATGACTGGCCAGATTTTTTTAATTTGTACACGGATAGACTTTTTTTTAACGTTGGGAAATGTATTACCGCATACCACTTGCATTTCTATAAGTGATTATATTAGACTCACCGCCAGGAGAAGCCAGCAACCAACTAAAACCCAACAAAAACTCTTCCGGTTTAACGGGTTGTCGTGGGATAACTTAAATAACTTAAAACCATGGGGATTGCTGCCACGCTCGACTCTGCTATCAGAGAAGTACTAGCAGCACCTCGCAATTCACACTGCCCACCGAAGTCGGCCTCTTCCCAGTGTATTTCGTGGCTTCACGCCTGGCTGGATTGCCGGATGCTAATGAGCCCTACCAGCTTGTATAATATCGAATATTATCATAGCGAAATCTTTCACATGTGGGTATATTTGTTACTCTTTTACGCTTAAACAGCTAGACAATGATTGAAATTTTGTATAATAATTGACTATTTTAACCTGCTACGAGCTCGTATAAATAAGCTATGGTTAAACATGTAAAGGCAAATGAACGAAGCGAGGTTAAAGTTGCTAATCTATTCATATAATAAAATTGTAACAGCCGAATCTGTACATTAAATATATTTTGGAAAATCTTATTGAAATAGACATTATTATCAATACAGAGGCCGAATCTATAGTTTTTAGAATTTTTGTCTGTCTGTCTGTCTGTTTGTTACCGCATCACGGGAAAACCACTGGAGGGATTTTGATGAAAGTTGATATGATGATAACTGGTTATCTAGGTCAACATATACGATACTTTTTACCGCGGAAAAATATCTCATTTCTGAGAAAAAATACAAAAACTGCATTGTAAGAGTATACTAATATGTAAAACTTAAGAATTTGGTTTTTGGTCATCTGAACTCGGGTGGAGCCGCGGGCAATGCTAGTAACAATATAAATACCAAAGCCACATGAAAACGAAGTGAAGGTAAGTCAATAGTATTTATTAAAGACCGAAGTATTGTACCGTATTGAATATCATTATCTCCTAAGTCTACTTTATAATTAAGTTGCACACTAACACCTAAATGCAATTAACGGGTTCCGTACAACGGAAGTGGCTGTAGAATTAACATAATGCAAACCACTACACGTTTTATGTCACAACACTATGTATTCTAGCTATTGGTTTGGACCGCTCGTCGTTTCATAATAGTAAAATTTAAATATCGGAAACGTGTAAGTTTAGATTACTGTACTAGCCACTACATACATATGTATATTTGATTGTATTTTTATGTCTTCACAATGTAAATAAACAGAATAAACTATAATAATATATGCACACTTAACAGCAATGTTGACGGTCCATAAAGAAGCTACTGGCTGGGAATGCAGAAGAAGGAACAAGAAAAATAGAGCAATAGCGAATTAAACTTGCATTAACGAGAGTTCTGTATATTGTAGAACTGCCTTGGGTGTGTAGTAGCTAGTATATACGGCTGCTTGAAGGTCCTGGGTTCGAGTCCCGGATCGGGCCAAGTTTAGTTAAGTCTCAGTTGGAGCCCGGAGTTGGGAAGTTGGCGGTGATTCACCCCCGTGCCTCGAAGAGCACGTAAAGCCGTCGGTCCTGCGCCTTAACTCCCACTGGTCGTGTCGAGCAGTCGTCCCACCGGAGTATGAGAGTGACAGGAATAGAGAGTGCACGTTGTGTCTGCGCGTACACATGTGCACTATAATATTTCCTGCGCAGTTGGCTAGTCTCAATGAGATTGGCCGCCGTAGCCGGAATCGTCTAGGAGAACATCATCATATTGTATAAATTTAAAGACTTAAGTAATATAATGAAAAACACTTTCTCGTATAAATGATATAATACGAGTAAAGTGTTATATTTAATCCCAATATCTAGGGTCAATATTTCCGCCGTAAATGGCCAATTTTCGTATAATTTCATATAATAAATAAATGAAAGTCACTAATTTTTAAAATCTTTACATTAACTATGTATATTAAAGAACTCGCTAATTTATTACTAGCGGAATCGCAAATAACTAGATTAGCATATATTTACCTAACAAGAAAAAAATTCCTAATGAATGTCTTTGCGACCGGATGTTGATCCAGTTAAGTGCTCAGCCTAAATTCATTTCCGTAATCAATAAATAATACTATAAACTAGATATTATAATCCTCAACTACCTCGTAGGTGTAGGGGCTAGTATGTAGGGCTATAGATTTGGAGGTACTGGGTTTGACTATTCTCCGCCAAATATAGTTATTGGATTTTTCTATGATGAAATCGTTCAGTAACCGCTAGGAGTTGAGTTTTTTTAATGTAATATGTCCTGCAGAGTTTCTTAGTATCTATGAGATTAGCTGCCATGGTTAAATTCGTAAGGATATATTTTTATTAGAGCCTCGGCTCTGTTAAAGCTAAATTCAGGCTAAAATCAAACGGTACTAACTATCTATACAGATAAATAAAATTGAACTGTCTGTTTGTAATGTCAAATTAACAATTTTTTACTAAATTTATATGAAAGATATATGGTACATATTATAAGAAAAGCACAATGTTTAAAATTTTTGCGTCTATTCCGGCAAGTCTCCGAAATGGCTGGACTGATTTTAACGTTACTTTTACTGGCAGATAACTGATGTTAGAAAGAGTAACTTACGCTACTTTTGTTTTAGAAAAATAATTAGGATTCCGCCAAAAAAAAATAATGAATAAATAATAATAAATATATATGTTGGGACATTAATACACAGCGCCATCTAATTCCATGGTAAGCTACGAGGCTTGCGTCATGGATACCAGATATTTGATATACTATACATGTATAATTTTAAATACATACATATTATAAATATAAACACCCATGACTGGAATACAAACATTCGTGCTCATCATACAAACGAATGCCCCCAGCGGAACTCGAACCCGCGACCGCTGACACAGCAAGCAGGGTCACTACAAACTGAGCCAAACGTTAAA